GGTTATATATATCTGTTTATAGTATGCATGTATTACTGAAAACATATACAGTATATACGCACTTATCAACGCGTAAGGGTGCATGTGCGTGTACGCATCATTATATACATACATTGATAATTGTATATAACTGATAGCAAACAACTGTATACATACATGTATAAACATATCATAGTATATATACACACATCAGTCCATACACAACATGCATATAAGTGTACTATATATCTGAGTGTGAGTGTGAGTGTGGGTGCGAGTGCGAGTGCGAGTGCGAGTGCGAGTGCGAGTGCGAGTGCGAGTGCGAGTGCGAGTGCGAGTGCGAGTGTGTTAGTGTGTGTGAGTGTGAGCATGAGCATGAATGTGGGAGAGTGAGTGTGTGCGAGTGTATGTGTGTGTGTGAGTGTGTGTCAGTATATGAGTGTGAGTGTGAGTGTGAGTGTTCGTATTCGTGTGTGTGTGTGAGTGTTCGTGTTCGTATTCGTGTGTGTGAGTGTGAGTGTGTATGTGTGAGTGTGAGAGTGAGTGTGAGTGTGAGTATGAGAGTGAAAGTGAGAGTGAGTGTGAGTGTGAATGTGACTGTGTGTGTATTAAAAAAAAGTTACTTAATAAAATTGCAAACCACAAGTAATACTCTAGAAAATTCACTCCATATTTGCATGAAAGAAGAACGAGTACGTGTGTGTTAAGAAAAAGTTACTTAATAAAAAGTGTGTGTGTGTTAAGAAAAAGTTACTTAATAAAATTGCAAACCACAAGTAAAGTTTCAGATAGAATGCACGTATTAGTGTATACATACACAGTATATATACACTTATCAACGAGTTAGGGTACTTGTGCATACGCATAGTAGTGTATATATACATTCATAATTATATATAACTGATTGCAAGCAACTATATACATGCACGCATAAACATATCAGTTTATACATATCGTATAAATACTCACATCATTCCATATATAACACACACATATGTGTAGTATATATAGCTGGGAGTGTGAGTGTTAGTGTGTGTGTGTGAGGTATGTGTGAGTGTGAGTGTGAGTGTGAGTGTGAATGAGTGTGAGTGTGTATGTGAGTGTGTATGTGTGTGTGTGAGTGTGAGTGTGAATGAGTGTGAGTGTGTATGTGTGTGTGTGAGTGTGTGTGTGAGTATGAGCGTCAGTGTGAGTGTGTGTGAGTATGAGTGTCAGTGTAAGTGTGTGTGTGAGTATGAATGTCAGTGTGAGTGTGTGTGTGTAGAATATAAATCAGTATACATAGACGTTCATAACTGTATAAACTGATAAATAGTATATATATGGTGCTACACATCAATGTATGTAAAAAACTATATATTAGTGCAGCGTATATAAACAATTATGCACCATACATATATACACCTATCAGTATATACACATCGTATATATACAGATATCACACACACACAAACACATATCAATGTATTTTATACATACTAATAACTAATGTATTGTATAGTTATATGCATCAGTATATATATATACACCGAAAACAACGGTATATATTGTTATACATCTATACATAAACAAATTGTGCTAAAAACTGTATATATCACTGATAATAAGTATATACATGGTCTTATACATTAGTGTATATATAAACCCTTTAAATATATGAATATGAGTGTGCGTATATACATATCAGTGCACATATACGCTAATAACTGTAAAAACTGATAAAAGGTGTATATATGGTCATTTATATATGTCTATATAGAAATATATGTAAGCACTATCAATTCGTAAGGGTGCATGTGTGTCTGCATATTAGTGTTTATATAACTGATAGCAAGTTTATACATAAACGTATAATCTATACACACCATATATAAATAAAAACTGCTAAGTACATGGAATGCAGGTGCGTGCACATATACGTGCGTATATACTTTGATAATTGTATATAACTAAAAGGAAGCAACTGTATACATAGTATATACATATCGGATATATGTGTATATATACACACATCAGTCCATACACAACACGCATATATATGTAATATATAGATCTGTGAGTGTGAGTGTGAGTGTGAGAGTGAATGTAAGTGTGAGTGTGAGTGTGAGTGTGAGTACGTGTGTGGGTGTAGTATATAACTCAGTATCCATATATACCTTCATAACTGTATATGCACTAATCAACGTGTAAGGGTGTATATGCATGTGCATATCAGTGTATATAAATATTGATAATTGTAAATAACTGATAACAAGCAACTGTATACATAGATGCATAAATATATCAGTATATACATATCATATATATACACACATCAGTCCATACACAACATACATATATATGTAATATATATATATCTGAGTGTGAGTGTGATGTGAATGTGTGTGTGAGTGAGAGTATGAGTGCACGTGTGTATGGGTATATGGATGTATATAAATCAGTGTACATATCATATATATCCACACATCAGTTCATACACAACACGCATATATGTGCAATATATATATATGTGAGTATGTGTGACTGTGAATGTGAGTGTGTGTGTGTGTGTGAGTGTGAGTGTGAGTGTGAGTATAAGTGTGAGTGCGTGTGTATGTGTGTGGGTGTGTATATAAACAAGTATATATATACGTTCATAATTGTATATATACAGTTATGCATTTCACACATACACATATATCAGTATATACACATTGTCTATACAGACATCACATATGCACACATCAATGTTTTTTTTACACACTAATAACAATATATGTAGCTAATACCTAATGTATACGTACACGCATAAATATATCAGACTATACATATCGTATATATAAAAATATCAACATACACAAGCATATATGTGTAGTATATATATATTTATGTATATGACCATATATACACTTATAATCAGTTTATACAGTTATTAGCGTATATGTATATATATATATACTACATATATATGCATGTTGTGTATGGACTGATGTGGGTATATTTACGATATGTTTATGCGTGTATGTATACACTTGCTTGCTATCAGTTATATATAATTATACATGTATATATATACTGATATGCACACATAGATGCACCGTTACGCGTTGATAAGTAAATATATATTGTGTATGTAAGTATGTATAATACATGTATTCTATATACACTGATATATATGACAATATAGACACTTATTAGCACTTTATATATATATACAGTATTTAATATACGATATGTATATACTGATATATTTATTCGTGTATGTATACACTTGCCATCAGTTACATATACAATGTTTATATATTCGATATGTATATACTGATATATTTATGCGTGTATGTATACACTTGCTATCAGTTACATATACTCTGATATGCACACATACATGCATCCTTATGTATTGATAAGTTCATACATACATTACATATACACTGATATATATGACCTTATGACACTTATTATCAGTTTATCAGTTATTAGCTTGTATGTACACTGATATCTATCGACGCACACTCATGCATATGTATAATGTATAAGACCATGTATATACTTAATATCAATGATACATACAATTATTAAAACAATTTGTACACATACTGATGTATAGCAATACATACCATTGTTTTCAAAGTATATATATATATATATTGATGCATATAACCATACAATACATTAGTTGTCTGAGTGTTAGTATGATCGAGTGTGTGTCTGTGAGTGTGAGTATTATATATAGCTGATAACTAATGTGTTGTATGGTTATGTGCATCAGTATCACTGATTGTGCTAATAATTGTATGTATCACTGATAATAAGTATATACATGGTCAAACGTTAGTATATACTTGAACCCTTTCTACATATACATATGAGTATGCGTATATACATATCAGTGTACATAGACGCTAATAACTGTATAAACTGATAATAACTGTCTATATGGTCATATAAATCAGTGTATATAAAAATGTATGTATACACTATCAATGCGTAAAGATGAATGTGCATGTGCATATCTGTGTATATATAACTGATAGCGAGTTTATACATAGCATATATGTTTTACACTGTATATATGCGTGTGCATGTGTGCAAGTGTGTGTGCGAGTGTGAGTGCAAGTATGAGTGTGAGTGTTTGTGTGTTTAGTATATAAATCAGTGTACATATATGTTAAAAATTGTGTAAACTGATAATAAGTGTATTATTGTCATTACATTAATGTATATAAAAATGTATATATTAGAGCACTGTATATATACAGTTATGCACTTTACACATACACACATAACAGTTTATACACATCATATATATACACATCACGTAGACACATACACGCATCAAAGTATTTTTCATACATTAATAATTGTATATATAGCTGATAACTAATGTATTGTATGGTAATATGCATCAGTATATATAAAATTATACTAAAAACATTGGTATGTATTGTTATACATCAATACGTATACAAATTGTGATAATAAGTATATACATGGTCGTATATATTAGTGTATATATAAACCATTTATACACATGCATGTGAGTGTGTGTACAAACATATCAGCGTACATATACGTGCCTAATCAAATTGTAGAACACCCGGATGGGGAAATAGAAATCCAATTTGATAATAATAGAAAAATTAAAATAAATAGCAAAGATGACTCTGATATAAAGTCACAAAATAAGCTATCGGAACCTGCTAGGCATTCTACATCTACTTCAAGTATACAAAATCCCATAATTCAAGGGTTAGTAAGAACCAGGAATAATGTTCATATACCTCAATATAAGCTAGCAAGTAATCATCCAGACTTTTCAAATACTGAAATATATTTCCAAATTTTAACCCTACAAGAAAAAAGAAGAGTAGATTTAGAATATCTAAAAAATGATTATTTAGCAAAAGAAAATGCCCAAATTAGAGAATGGTACCTTGCTAAATTTGAGAAAAGATTAACAAAATTGCTACATAAGAAATATAATAAATTTCTAAAAAAGGAAAAGCAAAATGTAGGATTTTTTAGTTGGCTAAGGGCAATACTTGCAGAAAAAGAAGTTCATGTTCCCAACTTTGAAATACATACTCTAGAAAAACAATATCAAACATTTCAAGTAGTAGAAGGAGACAATATAACCAGTATACATCCACCAGAAAGAAGTATTGTAATTACGGGATCTCATAAAGATAAAGAAACAGACGCAACCATAGTTTCTAGAACTAAAGCAACCCCTTATAAAATGACCACTGAAGAATCTACTCACAAATTATACTTATTACCCCATATAATAGAACAAAAAAACTATACAAATTTGTATATGCAAACATTAAGAAAACAAACTACAAGAATAGAAAATATTTTAAGAATACCACAGAAGAAAGAAAAGCAAGAAATCCAAAAAGAAATCAGTCCTAATAAACCCTCCTGAAATAAATAGAGCACACTGTAAATATACAGTTATGTACTTTTCACATACACACATATCAGTATATACACATCGTATATATACTGACATCATGCACACATATACACACATAACAATGAGTTTTTTACACACTAATAACTGTATATGTAGCTGACAACTAATATATTGTATAGTTAAGAAAAAGTTAATAAAATTGCAAACCACAAATAATGCTCCAAAAAATTAACTCCATATTTGCATGAAAGAAGCAAGAGTGTGAGTGTGTGTTAAGAAAAAGTCACTTAATTTTTTGGAGCTTTACCTGTGGTTTGTAATTTTATTCACTCCATATTTGCATAAAAGAAGTAAGAGCACTACAATACTAGAGAAGAAAGAACCATTAAGCAAATCAAGCTTGCAAGATCAAGATCGCAAATATCGAAGAACGTAAACAGATCGGCCTCGATAATAAGTTGCTTCCATGCTTGTTGATTTACAAGCAAACTCGATGAAGATGAAGCTCATCAATAATAATAAAAACAAACACAAATAGGATAAAAAATTTAGATGGACTATCACAATTGGGTATTTAGCATACTCAGTTTATCAAGGTAAGAAACCCATTTTTATGCCTAATTCATACAAAGTAATATGGAAATTCACCTAGGCCTGTCAGATTAGTGTGTGTGTGTGTGTGTGTGTGTGAGTCTGTGTGAGTGTGAGTGAGTGGGTGAGTGTGAGTGTGAGTGTGTGTATGTGTGTGTTACGAAAAAGTTACTTAATAAAATTGCAAACCACAAGTAAAGCTCATTCGCTCCCTATTTGCATGAAAGAAGAAAGAGTGTGTGTGTTAAGAAAAATGTACTTAATACAGATGCAAACCACAAGTAAATCTCAAAAAAAGTCACTTTAAAAGAAAAATTCACTCCATATTTGCATGAAAGAAGCAAGAGCAGTACTTTTTTAGAGAACTGTTCATTTACCTTATGGGCTGCAATAGCCACCTGTGCATTCATATACATTTCAATGTGCATATATGCTAAACTGATAAAAAGTGTCGATATGGTCATATATATCAGTGTATATAAAAATGTACGTATGCACTATCAATGCGTAAGGGTGCAAGTGCGTGCGCATATCAGTGCATATATAACTGATAACAAGTTTATACATACACGCATAAACATATCAGTATATACATATCGTATATATACACACTGTATATATATAACTGCTAATATATGTCAATGTGGTTAAATATATCAGTGTAGATAGAATGCATCATAGACAGTATATATGCACTTATCAACGCATAAAGGTGCATGTGCGTGCGCATATCAGTGCATGTATACAATGATTATTATACATAATTGATAGCAAGCAACTGTATATATACACGCATAAACATATCAATATAAACACATATCGTACATAAACACACTCAGTCCATACACAACAACGCAAATATGTGTAGTATATATCAGTGAGTGCCAGCGTGTGAGTGTGTGTCAGTGTGTATGTGAGTGTGTGTGTGTGTATGAGTGTGAGTGTGAGTGTGAGTGTGAGTGTGAGTGTTGTGTGTGGTGTGTGTGTGTGTGTGTGTGTTAAAAAAAAGTTAATAAAATTACAAACGACAAGTAAAGCTCAAAAAAATTCACTCTATATTTGCATGAAAGAAGCAAGAGTGTGTGCGTCAAGAAAAAGTCACTTGATAAAATTACAAACCACAAGTAAAGCTCCCGAAAATTCACTCCATATTTGCATGAAAGAAGCAAGAGCAATAAGTGTATATATGGTCATATATATCAATGTATAAAGAAATTTATATATTAATGTACTGTATATAAAACTTTATGCACTTTACACATTAGTGTATATATAAACCCTTTATACATATGCATATGAGTGTGCGTATATACATTTCAGTGTAAATATATACTAATAACTATATAAATAGATAATATGTGTCTATATGGTCATATATATCAATGTATATAGAAATGTATGCATGCACTATCAATGCGTAAGGGTGCATGTGTGTCGCATATCAGTGTCGATATAACTAATAGCAAGTTTATATATACACGTATAAACATATCAATATATACATATCGTTTATATGCACACTAAATATATTAGTATATACATGTCGTTTATATGCACATTGTGAGTGTGAGAGTGAGTGTGAGTGCGAATGTGTGTGTGAGTGTGAGTGTGAGTGTGAGTGTGAGTGAGTGTGAGTGTGAGTGAGTTCTAGTTTGTGTGTGTGTGTATGTGTGTGTGTGTGTGAGTGTAAGTATGTGTGTGTGTGTGGTGTGTGGTGTGTGTGTGTGTGCTAAGAAAAAGTGACTTAAGAAAAAATAAAACTCTAGAAAATTCACTCCGTATTTGCATGAAAGAAACGAGCAGTATTGTACTAGAGAAGAAAGAACCATTAAGCAAATCAAGCTTTCAAGTTCATGATCTCAAATATTGAAAAATGTAAAGAGATCCGCCTCGATGATAAGTTGCATTCATGCTTGTTGAATTACAAGCAAACTCAATGAAGATGAAGCTCATCAACAATAATAAAACAAGCACAAATATATGATAAAAAATTTAGATAGACTATCACAATTGGGTATTTTAGCATACTCAATCCATCAAGAGAAGAAACCCATTCTTATGCCTAATTCTATACAAAGTAATATGGAATTTCGCTTAGGTTTATCTGATTAGACGTGATAGCCAGAAGAAATAATCTCCTTCTTTAATACCTGATTTTATCACAATTTGGAAATTGTATATGGTAGGAAAAATCATTCACAGAGAAGATAATGATTCGAATGGTACGAATCGAGAGGAAAACTAATCAAAAAGGAGGGGGCAGGGGGATCTGTCCCTTTACCTTGTTGGCTGCAACTGCCACCTGTGCATTCATATACATATCAATGTACATCTACGGTAATAATTGTATAAACTTATAAAAAGTGTATGTATGGTCATAAACATCGGTGTATATAAAAATATATATATACATTATTAATGCGTAAGGGTGCATGTGCGTGCACATATCAGTGTATATATAACAGACAACAAGTTTATACATACACGCATAAAAATATCAATATATACATATCGTATATATACACTGTATATATATAAACTGCTAATATATGTCCTTATGGTCATATATATCAGTGTATAAAGAATGCATGTATTAGTGTATACAGTATATATGCAATTATCAACGCGTAAAGGTGCATGTGCGTACACATATCAATGCATACAAATATTGATAATTGTATAATAACTGATAGCAAGCAATTGTATACATACACTCATAACATAATCAGTATATACATATCGTATTATATATACACACATCAATCCATACACACCACGCATGTGTATTATATATATCTGTGAGCGTGAGTGTGAGTGTGAGTGTGAGTGTGATGTGAGTGTGAGTGTGAGTGTGAGTGTGAGTGAGTGTGAGTGAGTATGAGTGAGTGGGAATGTGAGTGAGTGTGAGTGTGAGTGTCAGTGTCAGTGTCAGTGTGTGTGTGGGTGAGTGTGAGTGCGAGTGTATGTGTAGTATACATATATGTTAATAACTATATAAATTAATAAATACTGTCTATATCGTCATATATACCAATGTATATATTAATGCACTGTATATATACAGTTACGACTTTAAACATACACACATATCAATATATACACATAGTATATATACAGACATCACACACATACATACACACATCAATGTATTTTTCACACACTAATAACTATACATATAGTAGATAACTAATGTATTGTATGGTTATATGCATCAGGATGTATATATATGCTGAAAATAATAGTCTATATTGCTATACATCAATTCGCACACAAATTTAGCGAATAACTGTATATATCACTGATAATAAGTATATACATGGTCTTTTACATAAGTGTACATATAAACCCTTTATACATATGCATATGAATGTGCGTATATACATTTCATTATACATATACACTAATAAGTGGATAAACTGATAATAAGTGTTATATATGATCATATATATCAGTGTATACAGAAATGAATGTATGCACTATCAATGGACGAGTGTGCACGTGTGTCGCATATCAGTGCATATATAACTGATAGCAAGTTTATACATACACACATAAACATATCAGTAAATACATATCATTTATATGCACACCATATATACATATAAACTACTACTAAGTGTCAATATGGTCAAATATGTCAGTCTATATAGAATTCATATATTAGTGTATACATACACATTATATATGCACTTATCTACGCGTAAGGGTACATGTGCATGCGCATATCAGTGTATATATATATCGATAATTGTGTATAACTGATAGCAAGCAACTGTATACATATACGCAAAAAGATATGCATATACATATCCTAAATATACACACATCAGTCCATACAC